AAGAAAAGCAAGGAAGTCCTACTGTAACACCGCTGGCCCCCCACGAGCCCAGCTCATCAATGCCACACTCAGGAGGGAGGCGAGGACAGGTCCTCCCTCAAGAGTGGGTGCCCACTCCCATGTGCACAAAGGTGGGGAGGTGTGGGGTCCCAGGGGAAGGGCTTGGGTCCATAATCACCTCTCCCGGTCCTGCATGCCCTCCCCACCGCCGCCGCTCCCGCCCCTGCCTCCTTCCTTGGACATCATGTCCAAACGCTGGTTGATCTTGGCAATGAGGGAGTCGGAATTGTCGGTGCATGGCTCTGGGCCATAAGAGGCCATGTGCACGGCAGGGCCCCCCGCCGCCAGGCCGCCATCGTTGGCCTTGGTGGCCTCCCATGAGGCTGGGCCGTAGCTGTAGGTTGCGCCTGTGGTGACACTGGTGTTCTGGGCGCCGTAGTAATTGTAGTTTTCATAACCTGTCATGGGGGGAGGAGCCAAGTCAGACCTCAGCACCCAGGAGACCTGTCCATGGTGGACATAACCAGGGAGGGGCACCCACTGCCACCGAGAAGGAAAAGGGGTGTGGGACCCAGTGCTGCTGGCATCATTTCACACTGCCCTGTGACCTGCCAAGAGGCAGCAGGAGGTGGCCAAAGAAAGGGGTAGCCTCAGGGCCTAGCAGTGGGTTTTCCGTGCCAGACTCTAGGACCTGTTCCCCATTCTAAGCTGGGTGACTGAGTCTGGGAACAGCAGTTCCGGCTGCTGACAGGCCCCACAAAGGACCGCTGCTCCCAGAGCACAGTCACAGTCCTCCCCATCATGCTTCCCTGAAGCTGCCCACCACAGCCGTCTGCAGCCGCCCCACCCCACCAACCGCTCCGTATTCACAACAGCAGCCCTGGCTGACTGTGTCCTCAGGAACAGAGCCAGGAAGTCCATGTCAAACCTCCCTGATGAGCTGACCTGCCTGGCCTTCAGATCAGAGGCCCACTCGCCCACCCACAGACCCCCCCCGCCACAGAAGGGCTTACCTTGCCAGCTGGCCACACCAGTTCCATATGCACCTTAGGGGAAACAAACACACACAAGAGCCCTGTTTGCAGAACGAAGGCACTGACACCCCAGCTGTCACCCCGCTCCACCCTCCACAGTCCCAGGGCTTCCCTCTGCAGCGCTCAGGGAGGCAGCCTTGGGTGTTCTTAGCTCACTCAACTCCTACAGAGCACTAGGCTGAGCACAAGCCAGCCTTCTCCCGTGCAAGGCCAACTTCCCGTCAGGGCAAGGGAAGGGATGCTGCACGCTCCCCAGGAAGCTCGTCTACTGTGGGCTGCTGGCCAAGAGGTTGGCCGGGTCAGGCCCCAGGCAGAGTCCTCGTAAAGGGCCAGTTCCCACCAGAAGCCAGAGTGCAGGCGCTGCCAACTGCACAGCTAGGCATTGGTGCAACGTCACGTCCTCAACTCAAGCGAGCAAGAGGACGTTATGTGCCTCGAGCGACTTCGAAGGCCTCCTCCTGAAACACTGGGTGGTGGCTCGAAAAGCAGCCCCACTCCCCATATTGCTAGAGACAGATCTCAGACTCAGAACACAAAGGAAGCCCTCGTGCCCTCGAACACGGGCTGGCAGAAAGCAGAAACCCTTGCCAGCAGAGAGCACACAATGGCCCCCCAAACAAGCCTAGCGTCGTGACCCTGACTCTAGAGTGGGGGTCTGTAAAAAGTCAGGCCACACGGAGCCCACTGCCTACCTTGGCACAGCCCTTGTGATTTTCAAATTTCAGTGCTCATAAGTAAGTACCAGCACACTGCCTGTAGCCCTGTGTTCTCAGGCTCTGCCCTCAGCGAAGGGTGAATTTTACGTTTTTAAATGGTTGGGGTAAAGCTTCTAAGGTATATTCAATGACAAATTTTGACATGAAATATATCACTTACACATTGGGTCAAAACTCAGAGACTATGCAAATTAAGAAAAACTATGAGCTATAGTGAATAATATCACATAAACACTGGAACACTGGCTAATTAATTGTAACAAATGCATCACACCAATGCAAGATTTTTTTTTTTTTTTTTTTTGGAGACAGGGTCTTGCTCTGTCACCCAGGCTGGAGTGCAGTGGCTCACAGCTCACTGCAGCCTTGACCTCCTGGGCTCAAGCAATCTTTCTACCTCAGCCTTCTGAGCGGCTGGGATTACAGGCACGCACTGCCACGCCCTACTAATTTTTTATTACTAGGATAAAAGGCTCACTTGAGCTCGGGTCTCGAACTCCCAGGCTCAAGTGAGCCTCTTGCCTCAGCCTCCCAAACTGCTGGGATTACAGACATGAGCTGCCTCACCCAGCTAATGAAAGATCTTACTAATAAGGCTGGGTGTGGTGGCTGACACCTGTAATCCCAGCACTTTGGGAGGCCAAGGAGGGCTGATCATGAGGTCAGGAGTTCGAGACCAGCTTGGTCAACATTGTGAAACCCTGTCTCTACTAAAAATACAAAAATTAGCTGGGTGCGGTGGTGGGTGCCTGTAATCCCAGCTACTCAGGAGGCTGCGGCTGCAGTGAGCCGAGATCACACCCCTGCACTCTAGCCTGGGCAACAGAGCAAGACTCCGTCTCAAAAGAAAAAAAAAAAAATCGTACTAATGAGAGACAGTACACCTGAGTGGAGATGTGTGGGCCTATGAAACTCTACTACTAAATCTAAAGCTGTGCTAAAAATCTGTTAATGATAGAGAAAAAACACCTTGGATATACCCTCAGCTATTTACTCCGAATAAAAATATTTTGCCAAAATAGAGGATTTAATAACACACAAAAATTATGATCTTCGAATTATATTGTCTATAAGTAACTACTGGCATTGTCCCATCCACTCTTTCACACATTTATGACTGCTTTCCCGCTACAGAGACTGTGGAGCTCATAAAGTCACAAAGATACTCACCATCTGATCCTTTACACAAAGTTTGCTGACCCCTGGGCTACCACCTCCCTTGACCCTGGTGACCATCAGGTTCAGCTCTGCCATGCTACGGCCTTGAATATAAGGGAAGCCCACGCCTCACCCGCAAGGCAGAGCCCACTTACCCTGGGTGTTGGCAGGTCCAGCACTCCATGCCCCATAGCCTGCAAGAAGACCCCGTGAGTTAAGATTCTATTTGTCACACCAGAGAACGGGTCCTTTTAGGGGTACTCCTAAATGGATCTCCTTACAGTTCAGTGTCAGCCTTACAAGAAGGAATACCCCCCCCAACACACAAAAAAGCCACCCCACAGCTGGCTAACGGCATCATCGCATTCCACTTGGCTGAGATCAAAGCAGAAAAAGAAGGGTGGGAAGTGGGCTTGGAAGTCAGCTCCGCCTGCAGAGGGACCTTGGCCAAGTACCTCACCCCTCCGAGTCCATCCACAACTGAGGCTAACACAAGACAATCCACTCAGCATGAGGACACATTCCCCCACCCACCACACAGCCAGGAAACCAGTTCCGACTACTATCACAAGTACCCCGTAACTGAGAACAAGCATGGGAATTTGGTGACATAAACTGCATCTCTCTAAGCCGCACTTCCTATCACTTTTAAGCCCTCCACGGATCCCCTGGACCTTTAAGTCCCAGGGCCTTGGCCTGGCCCGAAGGCATCAGACTGCACTCTTCGACCCTCCAACACCCCCCACCCACTATGGGATCTGTCTGGTCCCTCCAGGAAGGAGGATGGGAACTGTGTTCTCTTCATTTCTGTGTCCCTGGCGCCCAGCACTCAGCTGCGCGCGCGTGGCCACCATGCCTGTTAAATGACTTCACTTTGATGAGGCAGGAACATACCCATGTCTCCCTCACCAGAACAAGCCCCGCCGCTAAGTGCCTAGTGTGTGCCGATACACTGCAAGCACCCAGCAAACCCTGTTGTCCCGAAGGCCATTTAGAGACAAGGGAGCTAGGCTCACGGGTTACGAGACTTGACCCAGTCATAACCGCTGAGTTTTGCCCTCTGCTATGCTATGCCTTCCCCTCCGTCATACCGCAAAGCCTTCTAAATTTGCATCCGTGCAACAGAAAGGCAGACTGCAGATTCTAACAGCAAGTAACCAACCTCGAGAGGTCGCTTCCCTGTGAAGCTCTAGTGTAAGCAGCACGCACTATTAACCTTAAAACGCTCCCCGAAACTCAAGAAATCGGGGAAGCTGAACTATCTCCACTGTGTCTGAAAGGTTTTCGGGAGGTAGGAAAAGGGGATTAAAAAAACCTCTCCAAACTAAGACTGAAAAAGACAATACCGGCAGAAAAGATCTGATGGGAAGGAAAGGAGAGAATGGTGAAATCTACCCAGGCTGTGGAAGACCAGGAGAGCCAGGCAGAGCCTTCGCTAGGACCCGGAAGACACCAAAGCACACCGCGCACGCTGCCGCCTCAGGACCGACCCCTCTCCTGTCTCTGCAATTTCTGGTGATGGGATAATTTTGCCCTGCCACTTCTCAAGATCGACAACTTCTTGAGCTCCTGCAGCCAGGATCAGACCACTAGCTTCTCTACACCCAGTCGAGCTCCACCCAGCGTGTCCCAACTATCCCCTGTGGGCAAACTTGGCTCCCAGAAGGCTCTGATTCCAGAGGCGGGGAGCAGGAAGCTCGAGAAAATCGTCCCTACTGCAGGTCAAGCGCTAAAGCCAAGCGGGGAAAGGACACGTTCCCTCTTGCACAAGCCCTTGGCCCCTCCAAGCCACCGCAACGCACTGCCTACATGAGAATGGCCAATCTGTCACCAGCCCCAGGGCACATCAGGTTTCCAGCTTTGTACAAACACTCAGCATCTGCCCCTCACCATCCTGTCCCACGCTAGCACGCGCCAGGTACAGAGCTGGAGCCCGGCGAGGCTGACTCCCGCGCCGGCCGCACTCGGCCCCACTACGCAGCACCGGGGATTAAAGGCCCGACCCCGCGCAGCCCGACGGCTTCCGGGACAGGCGCCCTGGGCCTTGGCAGCCCAGCAGAGGCCCCACCCGGCCCCGAAGGCCTAGGGCAGGTCAGGAGAGGCGGCCCCAGCGGTCCACCAGTGGCCCCAGACCCAGCGCCCGGAGCCCGACCTCAGGACCCCACGCTGTAGCTCCGCCCCCTAGCGCCGCCATTTTGTGGCGTCTTCGGAAGAGGAAGCCGGGAGTGCAAACCCCGGGGTCGCCGGGAGCCGGAAGGGCCCCGCCGAAGGTGAGGGACAGAAACGGCCCGCACAGCCCAAGGCGCCCCCCATGAAGCCCACCGCGGCGTCTGCCCCAACCCCGA